ATAAATTAATTCCCTCCATTCCGTTCACTGATGAAGTCCGATATATGTAATACGATTATTACATTACTAGTTACACGTAAACAAATCGATGATTTTCTATAACAGAGACCTATCTCATAAACACCAAATTCTTCAGGAAAATTGTGAAAAATTAACAAAGACGTAGCTGGCCGGCGATTGAATTCGTTGCTTTTCAAAAAGAATGACTCAATGCAGAAATGACCCTTTTTTTACTATAACACTGAGATTTACTGAGAAAATGCTAATTTTTATTGTGATTGGAACAGCAAGTTTTTCATTGGTTAGAAGAATCACATGAAAACACTGAAATGAACGGATCGAAATAATTTTTTCTGAGTGTTCGATCTTTGTATTAAAAATTTTAACAAACAAGTGGAGTAATTTCACATAAAAATAATTGAATATCAATTCAATAAAAAATTAAAATACAGTGAATAGCGACATCTCTCGCCAGGGCCGGTAAATGTAAAAGTATCTAACTGGGTGATAAAACTTTCATAGATTTCTCATAGATGGCGTTACGACTAAAAAGTCGTTGAAAAACCAAATACAAAGACACGACAAGAAGCACGTAGAAAAATTCGTGAGATCCGCTGGTTCGTTCCGTGGCTTAGTTGGTATAGCGTCTGGTCTGGCACGGTATGCTAGAAGACGTCGGTTCGAATCCGGCCGGATCGAATGATTTTTTTCTGAGTGTTCGATCTTTGTATTAATAATTAACACTGAAATGGTCTACGATTCGTCAACTTTGTGCGGCAGATGCATCTCAGCTTTTTAACCCATCTCCCCGATAAATTAGATGCTTTTAAGATAGGCCACTATTCTAGAAAACCATCGAATTGTATACTAAAATTATTTTAACCAATTGAAACGGTATCTATTTCATAATAAAATTTAGCACATTCTAAATGCAGGTCTGTAGGTAGTACATCAAAAATGAATTATTTTAATTCATAAATTATTAACCTTGCTTAATAATGATTATTTAAGCTTTTATTGTACCTTACCTGATATTATGAAAATAAAATAATAATTTAGTTCGCTTATCAGTTTAGGTTACGTTTTATTTTCATTGGAATTAGCTCTATATGGCAAGTTTTATTGAAATCTGTTAACAGAAAGTGGGTGAAATTCAGTACCTAAATCAGATTCATCCCCTAATTTGCCATCCTTAGAGGTGGAAAAAATTCTTCAAATTTGAATGGAATCGCTCTGAGGTTGTAAAGAAATTGTGTGAATTGAGAACCCGTTCTTTTTTAAAGCCGACTAAAAAGCAGCGAAATGGTACATGACAACATTGAACATAGAATTGTAAATAAATTTTTTCTGTAAATAATTTTAAGCTATATCCGTTCGTCATAAATGAGATCGTCCCCTTTATGAGTGTAATAAAAAGATACTAATTTAGAACATAAAATTGTCTTGTCTAAACCAACAGCGAGTTGCAGAAAAAGTGTTAAAATTTAATGTGGCGTTTGTAAAGGTCGAATTAGGCAGATTATATGTTTCAAACGACACACATAGAATAATATCACCGTATAAAATCCTAGCAAGATTAAAATAAAGGCAATAAAATTAAAACAAAACAGTTAGATTACTCCTGTCCATAACAGTTGAAGTGCCGCTCAAAAGTCACCCTGAGAAAAGTCTCATGTGCCTGTAATTTCACCAGCACCCGTACTATTCAAATCTGGAACGCAGTAATGCTCACATTACTGCTTGGCGGCAGAAATAGATAAGGTGGCAGTACTGCTACTAAAAACTTGTGTTGGAAATCGGAAACAACGACGGTACCGCAAATACCCAGACCCAAGACAATATAGAAAATTGAGTTTTCTACATTGACTCGGCCGGGGATCGAACCCGGGACCTCAGAGATGGTGACACCATGAAAACCGGCGTGCAAGCCACTCCACCACTGAGGTCGTCAAAAAATCAACTTCAATTCATTTCATGCACTTTTTTACGAATTGCAAATGGCGGTGAACGACTGGGTTCTGTACCTTCCTTTTATGATTTTCCTTTACCTCGACTCGTGAATTTGACACCAAGTAATTTAGGGTGCTTGTTCAAAACAAAACTTAACCCTATGCATAGAGCATGTACCTCGTAGCCATTCTCACATTCGGTGCTGTCAGCCTAATTACCGTAGCCATTTCGGTGTCCTCAACTCCTCAGCCTAATTACCGTAGCCATTGTTTTTGTTTAACTATCAATATGTCTAATAGATCTAATTACCGTTTCCATAAAATATTTGTTTCTTGATAACTCTAAAAATAGGGAAGATGCTGTACGTGCACCCGGGGCGGCTCACCTAAGGCACTAGCTTTACAGAGAACCGAATGAGGTCCGTGCAAACGGTCTGTTCTGGGTTAGGACGTGACTTAAATGGTCCCTACGCAGGCATGCTCGCGGAGGTCATAGTGCCCGTCTCGCAAACCCTAGGGTCGGTAGAGGTGGTCACTATAATTAAAGCTAATATAGAAAGATATGAGGGCTAATCTTATCAGAAATACCTAAAAAATACTTAAACACATTTATTTATGACTTTAGAACTACTTGTTTGTACATTTTTTCTTCCGAAGGCAGTCTTGTAGGTATTATTTGTGCTAGCCCTTCACAAGAAATCTGAACGCTTAAAATTCCCGATATGATTAGTATCCTTGACGCCAATTGACAACGTCCCATCATAAACAAAGATGAGGGTCCAAAGATCAAAGACTAGTGAGAGCTAGTGCCTTTAGTTTATTTACATATCGATGTTTACATGTTAGTAGATAAATGCATGTTACAATTATATTCAATTACTATTGCGTGAGGCGTTGATTCATTCGTAAACTAATGTGAGTTCAAAGTTATCGTATTAGTGAAGAATGTCGGTTGTTTGAAATATCGATATCGATACCCGAGCCAGTGACTACAGTCTCTTTTGTTGTATTTAAATAAAATGCTGGTGAAAGGAACGTTGAATAGTTAGTTTACTTAGTTATTGACAATGACAACTCAACTTTTTGCGAATATTAATAATTGTACTAATTATTTATTATGGTTGCCGGCTTAATCTTACGAAACCACCTCAAACAATTTAGTACTCAAATAAATTACTATTTGTATAGAATATTAGTGATACATTAATCATCATAATTGAAAGTAATGTACTAATAAAACGGGGTAACGTAATTCATGCATTTATTAAGTTCAATATTATTGTAATATTGGTGCGAAGTAACAAGGTGCTGCACAACGATTACATTGCAAGTGCAAAATAGCAGTTATAATACAGTTGGAATACACTTGCCATGACTGCACGCTAGTTTCCAAAGTGTAATTAGTTTATAAAAATTAATATTAATTAATTTCATGCTCGCGTCGACTTTTTGTTCCACATATTTACAATCATATTTCACATATACAATTGTACGTATATTCACACTCGCACTTACTTATCGAATAGGATATCTTACATGCACTATTTACAATTTATAATAGTTTATTTTAAAAAGTAATAGTATGGTACCTCCTGTGGGTCCTAATTGAAAACCAACGACCTTTCACTGCTATATCAAAAATTGTGTCTTATTACTTTCGTATTTAGTCTGTATCATATTAGACGAACAAAATAGATAAGTTATTGCATCATAATTTCGTTAGAAAGTCTGCCCACTGTTTTTTTTTTAGGTGAAAAGAGGAAATGCTCATGGATACTATAGTTCCGGACCAGTCAGTAGTGCCTGACTTTGCTAGGAAGTGTATACTTGCACTAGTAATAGCACTCTACAGACAGAGGTCAATATCCTTATTTTAAAACATTCCCTTTATTAACTAGTAGTCTGAAAACTTATCATACTTCCGCACTTATTATGTTGCTTACTTATGTTACTCCATTTCATCGAGTATATAACCAGAAATAGAGACGAAATAAAGGCCTTATATTCCTGGTAACACATTAGCGATACAGCTCTTATAAATATCAACTCTCGTTTGCACTGAAATATAGACAGGCCAAATACTGACCTGTGTTTACATCTCCGTATATTCCAAAAAATATTCTATATTTATTGTAATAAAGATAATATCTCTTACAATGCCGTGCTGTTCTATTCGGTGGTGTGGGAAAAACAGCAAAACGTCTAATTACAAAAAAAAACGGAATCACATTTCATCGGTAATTAAATATTAAATATGTAATTTTGCAATTTTCGTCCATTATAGCAAAGCTTAAGTTAACTGGTCGATTTGAAGTGAAACGGTTGACGACACCAATTAATGACACCCGTCAATTGTTTCGAACTCGGACTAGCCAATCGGAGCGCAGTTGTCCCAGTAATGATAAGGCAGAATAGTTTTCAAATAAATTACATGACATATCGCCTCTATTTCTGGTTATATACTCGATGCTCCATTTAAACTAGCTGAACTTATTTCCTCTCTTTTTTTACTGCCGATTTTTAGACAGCTGACGTGTAACAAGTACGCAATCGCAATTCAGTTGTGCCGACTGCATTGAAACTATATTTTTCAACTGCATTCCAAATTCTATTTTGCAGTAGTAACGAGGTAGAACACTCTTACAATAACATTAAAAGTTCTATACTAAGTATTAAAAGATAGTATAGAATCAATCTTGTTGCTCTCATATTATTATAACAAATTATAAAGTTAAAAAATCAAAGTTTTAAATCGAATTACGCGAATAGATAAATCGTTTACTCATATCAGAAATAAATTACAAGATTTATTATGACGTAAAGAATTATGACATTTTATCGATACAATATGTTAATGCGTGACAACACTATGGGAACAAACCGGTACCTACGTTACACACGAGAAGAAGAATGAATGCATTATCAACGAGTGCGAGCTCTGGACAACACTGTTCGTATTTCAAATCTGTAATTAATAAATAAATCGAAATAATCTAATTCTTATAAATAAATAGACACAAATAAATGGTGTGAAAGTGAATATGCTTCTAATTTTGAAAACCGTACTGTAACTTTTCACAGTATATTTGAGTGATTATTATATTTGTAAACATAATTGTAAAATGGCGAACTCAACCCTTTTGCTTCGACAATGCATGTAAGTACATAATTTATAAATTATTTTGACTGTTAATATTTAGATATTATGACCCACAGCATAAGCTCTACAATTAGTATTTTTTTAGATTACACATTTGAACGCAAGTTCCTTAATATTTGCTACATGTAATTTTATATCTTTACATAACATAATATACTTGTAACATAAAAATAAGTAAATTTCTATCTACCAAATTATCTTATTAAATTACACATCTTATTATAAACTAATTGTTTTCTATATACCCGTATAGTTATTTACATTTACGTCAACAAACATTAATTCTAGTCTGTTAAAATATGGTAAACGTAAAGTATTTTAATGAAATGGCTGTCAGTCAACCGTGACCATGGGACGTATAAAGGGCCCGAAACGATGATGTGCTTGAAATAAGAAATATACACATATAATTTTTTTTTAATGCACGATTTAGATCCGAAATAATAGTTTTATATCCAATATGTAACAATCACGAAGGCCTAAGAACTCGGTAAAGTACTCGTAAGCATATATACAAAAACAATCACTATTAAACAGTTATGTAAAAGCTATAACAATTTCAAAGAAAAAGAGAACGGAATGAAGAAAACTAAATAAACTTAGTTACGATAAAAACGAAACTACATGAACAAAACACTAGAAGCACCTATAGACTATTTACAGAATATCGTTTTACTAACTTTAAACATGACCAGATAAGACGAAAAAAAAGAAACATAATTACTTCCGACCTTAAAAACAAAACTTTAACTTGCCAATGTTAATAGGCAGTTTAAAATACATCAAGGTTTTCAATATTATTGGCGTCTTTTGGTATATTTACCTTATATTATACAGAGTGTTTTTTTTAATGGAACAGTATGTGGAAATCCGAAACCATAGAAGATACTAGGAAACTGTCTTAGAAACCACTAAGTCTTTTTTTTGTGAAAACAATTTTGGCATAGTAAATTTATGGTGAAGCGTGAGTTGTTCATAAAAATTAATAAAATTGATAAATTTTTTTTAGTGCAGATCAACTCAGTTTTATTTACATAAATCCTTACGGATTACCCCATTGTACGGAATAAAAAAAATGGGAACGGCAGAAGTTGGTCGAATTTCATAAAATATTTTTTCATAAAACATGAATATTTTTTTAAAATGCGAATAGTTTCTTAGTTTCTTATAAGAATGACTTCATTGTATCAGAAGAAAAAAACTGGGACAGCAGGAGTTGGCGATATTAAAAAAATATATACAAAATGAATAACATTTTATTAAATTTGACCAACTACTGTCCCGATTTTCATGTCAACTGAGTCGATCAGCTAAAAAAAAATTTATTAATTTTATTCATTTTTGTGGACAAGTCACACTTGACCAAGAAAGCTATACTCAATGTTATATTGTCTATTCAATGTGTATGGACGATCGGATTTTGTTTCATTCTATGACCTTGATCTTGGTTAATGGGAAAACTGCGTATCAGATTCGCATATATTATATTACATATTTACATTAGGTACATTACTACATAATACTTGTAAGATAAAGAATGTAGTTTAAATTGAACGGTTTATAGGCATAGAGTGGTTATTTCGAGTCATTTTGACTAGAACAGAACCAGATTCAAATTTGAACTTCTAGGTCCAACATTTTTTTCATACTCATTTTATTATTATTTTATTTAGCGTAGCTACCACTACTAACATTGAACGTCCCCTGACATGGTGCGCTCCAAGGCCTCGGCCTTGGAGCGCACCATGTCAGGGGACGTTCGGGCCTCGGCCCGGGGGCCTACCAAAACCTTTCCAAAAACAATCTTATTTCAATGTAAGCTTAAACTAAGCTTATTATAATATTAACCTGTCAACCAAGTAATGTATTATTGCAAAAGTGATTGAAAGAACGAATGATTTGCCAATATTGTCTATTTCTTGCTAAAAATAGGAAAGAGATAACACTATGTGAACTAAGTATATAATGCCATCTCTTTCTTTTTTGATGTTCCGAATCGTCTTATCGTAGTATAATGTTTAAGTACTAAATGTTATTTACGTTCAGAGAATTTTGACTGTTAAGAAAAGAAAAGTATGTAATAATAAAATCTATTAAAATTACGTTGTTTCAATAATTATTCCGCATTTTCATGACGAAAAACAAATAAAACAAGCTGAGTCTTGATAGTCACGTTGTGAATTCGGAACCAAAGTCTAGTGTTAACTGTTAGTTTCGCCAAGGAGCATATAGATGGCGCTGTTGTAATTTTACGAAATAAACATCACGTATTTTTATTTAACGAAAAATTATTTACTATGTGCTATGAAATAAAAAATAAACAAAATATTGAAGAGATACATGTAAATAAATAAGTTCAACTTAACTTTTATTCATTACAAATCAATATTAAGACAATAAAACTGAAAATAATATTGTTTCCATTGCATCCGTGTAACTATTTTAAGAATTGCTAAATTTGACATAAGAGCAATATTACTTAGTACGAACCATTGACCTTGGTCAATGGTACGAACTGAATGAATGAATATTCACAAAGCTGCCAATAAAACATCATAGTTTTAACATTACAATAAGCTTACTTTAAGCGCGTTATGGTACGAAAAGGTAATATAAGGTTAAAGTAATATTGTTTTAAGAGGTTGCAATAGGCCTCCTGATGGGGTTTGGGATTACGACTTTACTATTAAGATTAGAAAGACCTAAAAATTATGTATTTTGTTATTATATAAAGCTCAATTTACATTGCAGCGAAACGGAATGGAAATGAATTTTTGTAACGATATTGTACGTACATACATAGCATTATAAACTTTATGGTCAATTGTGTAACGTAAATGCGCGAATGCTTTTCTTTAAACTTGATTTCATGTTTTTTTAAGTCTTCATCGAAACAATAATCGCAATTAAATTCTCACGTGTTGATAGCAGAAACGAGTTCAACCGGTTTCTACGTTGTAAACAAAGAGCCGTCTAGACATCGTTGTTTACCTGCAGTCGTCAAAGCTACAAAGGAAATTAGGCTTTATTCTGCGAAGGTTTAGGTATATTATAATTTATAATAATATAAAGGATTACAATATAATTAATCGTTGCCATATTAGGTGTTGCCACAGTAAACCGTGTCCCACTTAATCCAGAATCGATACGTAATTGGCTATTTGTAAAATACTAAGAACTAGAGATGACATGAATAGTGATATGGCCGAATACCGAATATTCGGCCACGCTCTCGGCCGAAGCGTCGAATATTCGGCTGCCAAATGTTCTGTCTGTGCATTTCAAGCGCAACCTAGCTCAAATATTACTTATTTGACAGTAATTGTTTCGGATGGATGTCGGACGGAGATCGAGAGTAGCCCCCGTGTCGACAACCTGTCCCATAAGGCTGCGTGCACAGGTAACGGGGGTGTAGTGTCTTTGTTGAAAAATGGTAAAACGATAGAATCAATACAGACAGTTCCTGGGCCTGTTTAGAAGGAATCGCTACAGATAATAATAAAATGATGAAGACGTTGAGAAAAGTTCTATTGCACATGAGATTGATTGTTATTTGAAAAGTGTTCGCTTAGATTGGACGGCAGATCCTTACAAGTGGTGGTCAGCAATCGCAAAGTAGTATATCCAAGCCTGTCAAAATTTGCTAAGATTTATCTATCGTCTCCTGGCAGTAGTGTTTATAGTGAGAGGCTATTTTCAGAAGCAGGAGTTGTTTATGAGGAAAAGCACAATCGTTTGTTACCATCCAATGCTGAAAAAATTGTCCTCATTCATCACAATCTGCCACCGATTGATTTTATGTATTAAAGCAATAATATGTGTTTAAAATGCATGATACATTTTGAATAATATGTGCTTTTTTCATTATTTGATACTCGGTATTCGGCCGAATAGTCGTAGTATTAAAAAAAGTAGCCGAATAGGCCGAATTCCGAATAGTAGCCGAATATTCGTGGCATCTCTACTAAGCACCACGCGTAACTATAATACCAACATCATAAACAACAAGTTTTGTTGCATGACTTAATAATTTTTTTATGATTATTAGGAAAAAGAGAATAAGTACGTTACGAGAATAATTTCGTTATTCAAACTATGACCTATGCAAAGGTATTTTGAGAATTTATATATCTTATTTCGTTTCGGAAATATAAAATCGAACAACGGTCGATCTGACATCCACAGCGAAGAAGAACGAACGAAATGCACTATGTCCTACGGATGAGTCGATTTACAAAAGATATTTGTAGTGTCTGCTGCGATTCGCTACAATCAGATTATACTTTCGTACATAAATAATAATATTTAAATAGATCGTTGTAAACAGTGATAACTCTTTGCGTATGATGCAAAACGCAGGAGTGGAGGTGAGGGTCGTCACATTTGAACTTACTACCTTACTACCAAATACGGATCTGAAAAGTGTCAGATACAATGAAATAAAATTCAAATACAACGAAAAATTTAAAAGTTTATTTTTAGTTAATTTATGTTTTGTAAATAGACATGGAACAAAAGTTGTTGTTTATGATGTTAGCCTATAGTCCTACGAAGTTGCTAGTATATTTATAATAACCCTGTACGCCTACGCTTTACGCCCTTTTCCCAACGGCCTTCCACTAACCGCGACCTTGATATACATCCTTTGCTTCTTCAGCACGCATCAGTACTTTCATACATGCTCGTCGGTTAAGAGTTTGACCTGCAGTTTCTTTAAGACGTCCTCAATTTGGTCATGATAAGTTCGTCTTGGTCGACCCTTACCAACTTACTCGCTCACTCTCGCCTTATAAACCTGTTTCTTCAATCTTCTTTCATTCATTCTCTCTACATGTCCAAATTCGATCTCTTTCTCTGCTTTGGTTATTACATCTTCCACGACGTATTTTTTTATTTATAATATTCCATGACAGACTTTTTGGACTTTCATTGCTCGATTTGCAAAATGAATTGCCTAAATTGTGCTTACCAATTTTGTCCGACTTTAGTTTTTTTTTGTAATACCAAGTGATGGGAAGAACACGTCGTGCGCCTGATGGTAAGCGACACGCCTATCCCTAACAGTTGCAGTGCCACCTTAGTGCCACCACGAAGATCTTAGGGGCACTGCCACTGCGCCCGTCAACCTGTAATTTTACCAGGAGTCTTACCCTTCCAAACCGGAAACAGTAATGCTCACATTGCTGCTTGGCGACAGAAATAGGTAAAGTAAGTACTTCTCTGGACGAACTCTTTCACAAGGAGCTCTATAGCTACTTTATGTTATTTATACTGCCACATATACGTTGTACGATAGTTGCCGTGTACAGTCTGTACTGTAGAAATAAATCATCAATTTCTGAATACTATTTTCTACAATACATAACAAAGCAATCCTAAAGGACACTTCGCAAATCATCTAAGCATCTCTTCCACTATCTTTGACATAACTAACAATTTCGACGAGTAAAAATTGTTTACGTGTTTCGATTCAGAATCAGTGTGGTGTAAATAATTTGTTGTCTTTAGAATGAAACCATTTAGTTGTGTCATAAGGGCCGAAATATTCCAATCTATAATAATAGTTTTACTAAATACTAGTTGTCTATAGTGTCAGTATTCTTCGGTGTTTAATAAATAAAATATTTAAGTTTTTAAAGCAAAAATGTTTGTTGTTACTCTCTGACAACCTAACCAAATACACATAATATGAGGTCATAGTTAGGCTTTTACTTTCGCTGCATTTCAGCATCCCGGAAAAATAAATCGGGACTCGATGCGGTATCGAAAATCCCGGGGAACACGAGACCTTCGAGACTCAAAACTTTCCATAACAACTTGAGGCAGTTGGGTTTCTGTGGTGTATCGCTTCCAGCACAAATACAGAAGGCGGTTTCTTTTTTTCAATCTGAACCTCTATAAAATGTCTTATATTTTTCTGGCCCGTAATGAAAAAAGCTTGCTCACCCCTGTACTAGGACATTAGGTACATATCTTATAACTCTAATATAATCTGACTTCCACATATTTTTATTCAATTTACTCATTCTATCAACAGTAAAGTTTATTTCTGATCGTGAAATACAGAGTAGCTACTTAGCAATGCAAAATTTCGCGTGCGTCAATTCCTTATTTTTATTCAGATTTCAAGATACGCGTTGTTACTGAACATTCTTCAGAGTATTTTTATTTCTTTATTTTTTTAATACTGTATCTTAATTTTAAATGAATCTGTATATAATAAATCCTTATGTATGTTCATGAATATGAAATATATAGACGCAACAACCATTGTCTTAAAAAAGTTTGCCAAGAGTGTATTTGCAAACATGTCGCAGTCTGCCCGTGTTTTAAGAAAATGTTACATTCATACTGGTACGATAGAATTGCCAAGGCGTTATTTTTAACCGACTTCAAAAAGGAAAAGGTTCTCAATTTGACAGTATTTTTTTCTTTTTTTGTATGTATATAACTCCGGTATTTGTGAACCGATTTTGATGATTCTTTACCTCAGGTGTGGTTCCATTTAAATTTGAAGAAAATATTTCACCAAAAAGAGTGGCAAACTACTTGATAAATAGATGTTATTCCACGAACTTTTGAGTTCCGTTTGGTTACGATGCCGGACTGCCAACTGCCTCCGTGGCCGAGCTCAGAGGTCCCAGGTTCGATTCCCGGGCCGGGAGAAATATTTATATGGCCTATATTTATTTCTCTCGTGAGTTTGGGTGTAATTTGTGGTTGTTTATGTGTGTGTCCATGGCACCCGCGACACAGGGTTTCCCTAGTGCGGGGTTGTGTTGAGTGTGTGTGCGTTTTTTAGTACTCTGTACTGAGATTATTCGATTAGTGAATCACTACATTTATCGATACAAAATCGTATAAAGTCAGTTAGAAAAACTTTATGGTCTGAGCGAAAGCGAGACGCACTTTCTTTTCGTTCTTATCGCATTATTTTAATTTTTTTATTATTAAGCAATAACAGCAGCCTACGTAATTATATCTAACAAAGAACTCCATATTTGTCTGAAATACATGTATAATTTGGGCCAAACAGTTATCCACAAAGATATTAATTATCGAAACGTTATACCTTAAGCCGTATAGAACAAAACAAAATTAGTAGTGGGCTTAGAGGATTTTAAGGGTCGTATTCCAGAATTCTACTCAATACTCAAGTTAGGACTTGAGTATTGCTGTGAGCACTGAAAATCATATTCAATTCCTTGCCATTAGGGTCGTATTTCCAGTGCTTGAAATCATACTCAAGTCTGCTCAAATCCTGACTTGAGCATTGAGTAGAGTCCTGGAATATGACCCTTAATTTCATTATAGTAAATGTTAAACTATTTGTCATTACGGTACAGATTGTAGTAATATGTATAATAATGGATATAGACAGTTTTTAGTGGTGAACTTATCGGTATCCAAATTTTTACCAGTATACAATAAACTCAACCCTATCTACTTGTATTTTGTGTAAAATTTTGCCCGATCTGAGACGCCTATAACGGGTTCTTATGTCGGTCCCTGAATAAAACACTAAACCAAAAACGTTGCCCCAGGTTTCCGCGCCAATCCCGACGACAGATCTCAAGGTCGTCGGGTAGTCGTACGTCGACGTCACCACCACGACGTAACATCGCTGCGCCAGCCGTTGCAACTGCTTTGAAACCCTTCAACGACATCCCAGGGCCACTGGCTTTACCTATGCTGAGGCATTCTGCTCATGTATTGCCTAGAATTGGTAAGAAAAATCGTCTATTGTAAGCTTTGGAATTGCGTTTAACACCTACGATGACTTCGGAGGTCCTTTTCGGAGCACTTTTACGCTGTGGGCGCTAGATGAGGAGGTCCCGGGTTCGATTCCCGGTAGGATCAATTTGGATCGTTTCCGTTGCTTAGTACTCATAGTACAGGGACTTCTATAGTTTGAGATTAGGTAATTTGTGTTCTTTTTTTATGATATCAAGAGGCCGGACAAACTGGTTGTGCGCCTGGTGGTAAGCGACACGCCTGTCCATAGCAGTTACAGTGCCACTCAGAACTATAAATCGCAAAGATATAAGGGGCACTGCCACTGCGCCCGTCACCGTAAGACCGGAATACAGTAATGCCCACAGTATTGCTTGACGGCAGAAATAGGTACAGTTACTAATTCCTTGGTGGAACTCTTTCACACGGAACTCTACTGGTAATAAAATGATAGCAAACATTTGCTGCTCAAGTCAATACATTTTCATTCAATACTACTAAGTTGACGAATATATCTCCTAGGCAAGCCGATATAAAGCCGTGTTATATGGGCCCTTTGCCACTGGATCGGGTAATTACTACCCACACTCGATAAAGGAATAAAATGTTGTGGCGGGACCATAAACCAAAGAAGGCGGTCCCGTCGTTTCTAAATATAGAGTTATGGACTGGAAGAACCGCTTTTATACCACTCGAAGCTTGCTGCAAAAATGTATCATTTCTAACTACAAAATATAACATTTACACAGAGAAATAAGAGTTAATTATGTTTAGCTAACACTTAACCCTGCTAGGAACATTCAGCTGTTTTGTTAGTACTGATAAAATTATGTTGATCTCGTCAACGTAAATACTTTGCCAAAAAATCAAATCAAAATAAAAAAGGAAACAATAAATTAATAATAAATCGAACTAGACAAATGGATTTATTACTCGGCTATAGAGGACCATGGAGCCTTCATAATAGCCCTAAATAGTTTTAAGCAAATGCTAAAAAATAACAAAAATACATCAGCAAAAATGACCAAAAGTACATTTTTTTTAAATTAAGTTTTATTGAATACTTTACCGCCATAATATTCCATTGTTTTTTTTAATAAAATTAATTACCACTAGTTTGTCATAATTATTAAACAATGATCGAACACTTAGAAAAAATTAACTTCGATCTGGTTGGATTCGAACCAACGTCTCCCAGCAAACCGTGCCAGACGCTATGCCAACTAAACACTGTCTGGCACGGTTTGTAAGGAGACGTTGGTTAAGTATCGGGATGACCAAGTGACGGGACGAGCAAGTCGTGCGCCTGGTGGTAAGCGACACGCCTACACATAACAGTTGTAGTGCCACTCGGAGCTTTAAATCGCAAAGATCTGAAGGGCACTGTCACCCTGAGACATAAAGTTGACAAGTCCCATGTGTTTCACCAGCACCCATGTCCTTCAAAACCGGAACACAGTAATGCTATGTAATATAGCGTAACGTAACGTAAAAAGTAATATAATATGTATGATGGCAGTGTTTCCCTGGACGAACTCTTACACAAGGAGCTCTTCTACTGCCACTGCAAATATTCAAGAACAAAATATTTTTATGAATAACAAAAAACACTTCTATGATTTTTCTTCTATAATTTATGCTTGTGTAACTTATTTTCTTTTTCTGTATTTTCAATAAATTTCTTCTTTCTAACGATGTTCTTATTCTTCTAACTTCACACTCATGAAAGATAATCACGCTGTCAATTTCGCTGTCTGATATAATTAAAAATGAACGTAAGCGACAATGTGAAACTGTGTTGATTTATAGAGACTTGTTTATTGTTCGATTTCCAGAATAAAAGTGTAAGTAAACTTAATTGCTAACTAAGCAATACGTGTCACGGGTTACAGATGGAGTATAAAAACCTGGAGCCAGAGATTGCTTGTTAATTGTGAACATGAGGCTTAATCGCTCTACATAATCTGCTTTTAGCATCAGTAGCTCTACTTGTGAAAGAGCTCGTTCAGGGAAGCACTGCCACCTTACCTATTTCTGCTGCCAAGCAGTAATGTTAGGATTATTGCGTTCCGGTTTAGAAGGGCTGCTGGTGAAATTATAGGCACATGGGACTTGTCAACTTATGTCCTAGAGTGACGGGCGCAGTGCACTGCAACTGTTATGGACAGGCGTGTAGCTTGCCAGCAGGCATGGGACTTGTTTGTCCCGTCACTTGATATTATAAAAAAAAGAACTTAACTGGTTTTGTGAACGTTACTTATTAAATTCACTAACTAATTGAAATATATTCTCTGAAAGAAATATCACAAAGGAATTTTTACAATTTAAAAGTTACAAAAAACCAATTCTACCGTCCTGAAACCTGCATGTCGAAGAAGGTTCACAACACTTGGAAAACGCGTAAAGTCACCAACACGCATTGTGGCGGACTATGGCCTAAAAGCTCGCTTGAGAAGTGATCTGTGCCCGGTAGTGGGACGTATAAATGGATTGATGATGATGATGACGATTGTACATAAAATGCTTTGTGAAAATTATTTATTAATTCTTATAAATACTTTGTTCACCAGCGGCTTATAAAGTACGTACTTCGGTAAAATAAAATATTTAAAACACTCACTTGTGCACACTAAACAGTTGCGTACCCTTTCATATTGGACTTAGCACGATCAATGACGTCTTACAATCAATCGTACTTTGAACTTACATATCATATTATTGTATTGCTCTTTGCAAAGAGATTTACCAGCATAGCTATTTATGCAAGTGCAACAATGCTTCAAAGTTTATTTCCACCAAATAATCATGCTGTAGGATTTATCAACTTTACTATCTACACCAGTATAACTATATCAATACAATACAAGTGTACATATATTGGTACTAAAGACACCTATCTAGAAATCAATAATGTTAGTTATATTATGAAGGTACTTGTAGATAAGGTGTTTGTATATTGAGGTGCAGGCTGTAAGGCTGCGAATGCCCAATACACACGCGGAATTCGATGCAGACGCGATGCACCATTTTAATGATTCAACATAAGCGACTGCATCGCTATTCGCTAGTGTCGCGATGCAAACGGATGTACCACAAACGCGCGTTCACATCGCTGCTAAAAATCAGCGTTTGTGACGCAGTGAAGATAAGTGGAAAAGAAAATCTACAGTACTTCAGTGCAACGGACCAAGATAGGTCAATGTGTAGCTTGATGTGTGTGTGACAGCGTGTGTACAATCCAACATATTTTGATTGATAGGAACCCCCTCAAACGCGTATTATGATTTAGGAATACCCGATCATTCTGCAAGCATGTGCTAAGTCTATTTATAATTATTTGTGAGGATTTGTTAAATGAACCGACTGCAAAGTCGACATTTCTCCTACCTATTATCGATTATTTAGAAATGATTCTTAAGTAAGCACAAGCTCACTAACCTACACCCACACATACATACACGTACGCACGCACGCACATATCGAGGAGATCGGTGCCTCTTCACCCAAGCTATGCTTGAAAAGAGGCTGTAGCCACTGTTGTTTAAGAAACCATTTACGCCATTTAGGCTACTAAATTACTAAAGTAGAGCTCCTTGTGAGAGAGTTCGTCCAGGGAAGTACTGCCACCTTACCTATTTCTGCCGCCAAGCAGTTACGTGAGCGTGAGTAAGTGAGTTCTTTGTAATTTAAATCTCTGAGTGGCACTGCAACTGTCATGGATAGGCGTGTCACTTACCACCACGCGCACGACTTTATCGTCCCGTCGTTTGATGATATAAAAAAAATGTGTTGAGAAAATAAAGATTAAGTTACGTACGTTATGTCACCGACAAACAATAAGCCAAACAATATACGGATACTGTTTATAGGGTCGACTAGTCATTGCATGATACGGTGTCATAGTTTTTAACTATTGAACATTGTTATTCATATTAATGCCGTAAATACATCTCATCCTTAAATATCATGTTTCTATCCCTCCTTACAGGTAGTTTCCACCACACAGTCGGTCTCGGCCTGCTAGAAGGGATTCGGTCCAGATATGGGAACCTGGTACGCCTGGCAAAGGCCTCTAGGAAACGCCCAGTGCTCTACGTTTTCGATCCTGAGATTATGAGAGAGGTAAGTTTCTTTAAAAAATAACCCGGAATCAAGCTTCCAATTTCTCTGAATAGATGGGCACACTTTCGTGTTTCTGGATGTCATAAAAGTTAAAACATTTGTTACGTCTGAAGCATTTCTTTGTAATAAGCATTCTAAAAAAAAATATTCGCGTGTTAGGCAGTGTTGCCAGATGGTTACATTTCTTACATTTTTCGTAACTTTTGACTCTCTCGCGTAATATAGTAACTTTTGAGAACGTTGAGATTTTTCAACGATATTTGTTTTTGTTAATTCTAAATAGTTTACAAACGCACACAAATAGACAAAGTGGAATCTATGTGTGCCTACTTTTTATTTACAATTTAGACTGTGTGTGCGAAAAATCGAATTTTATTTGTGGAAAATAATTAGTAATTTGTGATTGTCTATGTGTATGCCCATAACACCCGCGACACAGGATTTCCCTAGTGCGGGGCTATGTTGAGTGTGTGCGTTATTATTATTATTATTATAGCCGAAACGAATGCGAAACAGTATCAGGGACCACCTCGAGAGTATATCCTTTCAAACAAAAAATTATTTTCAAAATCGGCCCGCAATCAATGGAAAAATCGATAAATGCTCGGACATGCCTATAAAATTTGAGGATTACCCTCAATTTCCATGGGATCCCCTCATCAGATTCGGACTTGGTGACAATGGGACCAGCAAATAAATAATTTTCAAAATCGATCTACAATTGATGAAGTAATTTGAAAACATACTTAAAACGTACACACATCAAAAAAAGTTTGCGATCACTTTTAAAACTTGAAATATTTTTTAATTTCTAAAAATATTTCAAAAACCTCTTTAGTGATACTATTATTTGTTTTTAATTTTAATTATTTATTTAATGTTGTATTTTTAACAAAAAAACTATTTATTACATATTTCTTAATAATATTTCCACATATTAAAAATATGTTAAGTTTTCAAACTGATCGCAAACTTTTTTTGATGTGTGTATGTTATCCTCCTCCTTTATTTTTGAAGTCGGATATTATTTACAATTTAGACTGTGAGTACTTAGTTTTTTTGATAAAAAAAAAGAAAATGTTTCTTTTGCAACAAAATTGTAACTTTTCAAGTCAGTTTCCTTCTTCGCTCTTATTACGTGGAGCTGTTTCCTAACCGTTTCAAGCTGATTCTGCATTAAAATAGTATGGGGGCTTATTAAGGCTTACAGCTGCTCGTTCCGAGATAACCCAGACCGATTTTTTACGTTCGACTATCTAATGTCATTACGGGTGAATGCTCTCCGTGGGGACATATCTTATCATGGAAGAATAAAACAAAAAACTGTCAAAAATTAACTGCCTCCGTGGCCGCACGGTTACCATGCCGGACTGCCACGCAGAGGTCCCAGGTTCGATTCCTGGGCCGGGCGAAATATTTGTATGACCTACATTTATTTCTCTCGTGAGTTTGGCTGTAATTTGTGGTTGTCTATGTGTGTGTCCATGGCACCCGCGACACAGGGTTTCCCTAGTGCGGGGCTATGTTGAGTGTGTGCGTTATTATGAAAAAAAAAAACATCTCAACATGGAAAAATCATAGCCCATAATTTAGTTTCATCAATAGAGCGGGAACCACGTGAAGGTGCGTTGTTTACGCATCAATATTATTCCGCCATTAAGTACTGACATCGACTTTTTTCGTAGTTTTAGCATAGTATAATAAGACAAATAGTGTAACTCCATACAAACGTACCAGTGGGGCTTGTATATGTGCACGCGCACATCAATGCGTAGCGTGAAGGGTGCAGAGAGGGCCATGGCCCCAGGCGTCACAGCAATGGGGGCAATGACGAGCGTGGTCGAACCCTAACTAGTCACAATTAATATTTTTTTATTTAAAATTCGAAAATAAAGAGAAAACGATATCCTGATCACCACAAAGGCGAGACGAACGAACCACTTTTGTAATCCTGAAAATAGAGGGGGCAGCAAATGTAAGGCCTATCCACACACATTAGGGCCGTGCCCAGGACGTGGTGGACGGGCCGTACTAGTTTGTATGAACTCAGGGCCTGTCCAGGCGCCGGCCCGGAGACGGATATAGAAAATTCCAATAGTCCCCGCTGACGTAGCGATTTTTTTGAGCCCCTGACGGAGCACGGCCCGTCCACATCCCGGGCATGGCCCTGATGTGTGTGGATAGTCCTTTAAGGTAGGCCTTGAGCGGCAGAAATCGACGCTATGCGACTGACACACCCACTCGCATAATCTCAATGTACACTCACATTGAGATTATGCGAGTGGTTAAATACCACGGGTCTTCGCACGAACCATTTCTTTATACAATTGAAGCGAATAGAATAGTACATGTGATTATTGTTGTATTTATTAGCGCTTTAACAAAAGTGCCTCAAATTCAAAGTTTGCAATGAAATGGAAAATAGAATTTCATTTATTGGATAAAAATATCAATACTGTATTTAACAAAGGTTATTGCAATAGGGCACGAGAATACTGCGATGAGCTCCTTGTTTTTTTCAAATTATGTCTACAAGTAAAATAATAACGTGACAACTCTACACAGCCAGGACTCGCACTACTCTCTTTTCACGCCTCATATGGTTTTAGGCTATGATTTCCGACTAGAGCTTTCGTTTCATTTTATTTAGACACTCAAAATTTAGAAAGTCTCTTCGCGGAATAAAAAAATGAGTCCAGCTAACAGTTACAAAACTACTTTCTAAACAATCTCCAAAAGTGTTTGTAAAGCTAGTTTTCATATCTCTTTTAAGTCAAAAGTGAAGTGAATTTAATACAATATTTGGTTCACACACAAACACATAATTTAAGCAACCTCTGTCTTCCTATAAATGAACGATTTGCAAAATATTTATTTTAACAATATGTATCTTTAGTAAATCAAATAGAAAAATATAATCAAATATAATAAGTACGTACGTAAGAACACTACGAATAATATACTACATACTATGAGTCTTTTATTTTAAAAAACAAATATACGCGATTTTAGATCCAAAAATAAAAACAAGACAGGTCCTGTCAGATTGAATAATTTTTGTATTAAATAATTATAACAAATTAGTGGAGTAATTTCACAAAAAATAAATTAATATCATGGTATTCAATAAAATCAATAATACTATTCATACTTAGATAAGTTATGTTCTATATCTAGGAAATAATAAATTAATTAAATGTAAACCATTTTAACACCATTAAGTAGTAGCAGTAGAGCCCCTTGTGAAAGAGTTCGTCCAGGGTAACATTGCCTACTTTACCTATTTCTGCAGCCAAACAGTAATGTGAACTTTACTGCGTTCCGGATTTGAAGGGTAAGTGTGCTTGTGAAATTACAGGCACGTGGGACTTGTCACCTTATGTCTCAAGGGTGACGGGCCCGTGCCCGTGCTGCAATCTTTGTGGCTAAAAATTCTGAGAGCACTGCAACTGCTGTGGACAAGCGTGTCGCTTACCACCAGACTCACAACGTGTTCATTTCGTCACTTAGTGTCATAAAAAAAATTATTTTGTGGGGGTTCTTTTAAGAAGTGGATTTTAAGTTAAAAGAGCCCTAACAAAACTCCCTGTACGCATCTTAACATAGAACTGTATTAAAAACTAAAAATACCGATATACTACATACAAAGTATTTCTATAACTGCCTCTGTATGCCGTATCCGTATGCCTGCCAATGTATTTATTTAACTGCCTCCGTGGTCGAACGGTTACCATGCCGGACTGCCACGCAGAGGTCCCAGGTTCGATTCCCGGGCCGGGAGAAATATTTGTATGGCCTACATTTATTTCTCTCGTGAGTTTGGGTGTAATTTGTCGTTGTCTATGTGTGTGTCCATGGCGCCCGCGACACAGGGTTTCCCTAGTGCGGGGCTATGTCGAGTGTGTGCGTTATTATTATTATATAAGGCATATCTTCTGATGCCTTTTAGAAATACATACTATTTACTAGCATAGAGGGAAAAATAATAATTTTTGCAAATGCGCTCAATAAATTCTTATACTTCAATCTACATTACATTGGTAGGTAGGTAATGTAATTAGAAACATCAAACAACAAAAGTAATTGTGAACGTCAAGTTCCCAAGTCTAATTCTCAGAACTTTATAAATTTATTGCAAATCTGACGTACCTTCTCTGTACCTTCATGTACCTATTCTGAAGCCGTACACAGATATACTGTGTATCACTGTACTTCTCTGAAATACATGAATTATGATATTACAGATACATAACCTCACGCCCTTGTCCCACTGGAGGGGTAGGCAGAGATCATGGAACGCCACCTTACTCTATCCTGACACATCTCTCACATACATCAAGTACTCTTTTCATACAAGTTCTTTTATTCTTGTCACTTCGGATCCCAGCCTTTTTGAGGACATCACTGATCTGGATAATGTAAATCGTTCTGGGACAACTTCTTAAAACCCTTCCACACACATTCGCATAAATCTTTCTCTATTCTAGACACCACATCCTCTTCCAAGCCACAGCTTTCACGTATTATTTTATTCTTCTCTCTATCACTCAACTTTATTCCATACATTTTTGTCAAAGATCTCATCTCTACTGCATTAATTCTACTTTCATGTTTCTTCTGCCATACTCATCTTTCTTACATATCACATATGTAACGTATATTTACACTTATTAGACATTTTTCATAGGTACTTCAAGGTACACAGAAGGTATGTCAGATCTGCAATAAATTTATAAACTTCTGAAGTTTACGCCCGCGAATTTGTAATATTAAAGTTGAAAATAATTTAATTATTTATTCATTTTGTACAACTTACACTTACAATACTTATAACTAAACATGTAAGTCATAGTCACAAAAAAGGTTGAGTCGATCACCGGTCAAACGTAGGTTGCGGAATTTAGACCACAGTTTTGGGCGGTGACCGGCACCAAATAGTAACAAGCGAATGTTAGAAATTTTGATTCAGTGTTGCTGAACATGTCAATATCATTTGTTCT